TTTTTGGAAGAAGGGTTAATTAGAGTTAAGAGAGCTGTTCCGAGGAAATTACTGCATCTTGTTGGAATCTGTAATTTTAGAAATAAGCTTTATCTCTAATTAAACTATGAGGAAAATCTTTTTGTTTTCTTCTTCTGCGAGAAGATTCTCAAGACTGATTGATTGGAAGAATTAATCAGTTGAGAAGCATTCTGAAATGAGAGCAACATCGAGAAAACAATTCCAGTAAGAAAAAGAAAAGGAAATCAAGGAAAGAAATACATCCCAAGAAGGAACAGTTGCAATGAAAAATAGCACTTGACAGCGAATTCTAATGCTAGAAGAAAACGCGCAAGAACTTGAAAGGACGATCGGTAACAATGAAGAAAAAAGTAGATAAAAGGGAATCGTAGACATTAGAAAGGAAATTTCAATAGTAAAAGTATCAGACTGGGGTTAAAAACTCAATTACAATCAAAGCTAAATATGGCCCTGACCTGAAGATTTGGGATTCTTCTTTACTCATGTTTGAATCAATTATACTTAATTACTTACTTAAACGCTTGAAATACACATTTGATCGATTTACACGGTCTCGTTATGCTAAAGTTACTACGGCCACACGTATATTGTCGGAGAATACTGTTTCGCTTGGCGCTTGAATAGCGAAATATATAGCCGTGAAGCAGCGACAGTGAACCGTGACGGTTGTGGTCAGACAGGAAAGTGGATACGCAGTTAATGAGATCTGTCCATAGCGATTTATTCATCGAGTCGGATGGCATCGGCCTCTCCAATGCATCTCTTAATCAAGATTTTGTCTCTGCAGGGCCATGCGTTTCCGAACTTATTTGGTTAATTGAAGAAGGTAATTTCTGACGGCTGAGAGTGTAGCAATCACCATCAACTGCAATTCTATTATCGAACGTCTGTCTGATTTAATGCTCCTAGCGAATCCTCAACTCCTCTGGCTTCGAGTACTTAACCTTTGAGCCAACAGAATTGCCATTAGTTATTTACTAACAAACAGGTCACCCACAAAATGTACAATAAAAATGTACAATAAAATTCTCTCGCTTAAACATAAATATTGATCGTATTGATCTGCGTTCGGAATTTTGAGAATTAATTAAGTAGAAATTCCGACAGAATAATAATATTATAGTCTGGATGAATCGGTGCTTCTCTCTTCGTCAGGTTCATTTATTAAAGTTAAAGAACAGGTTATCTACTGTTGTTAATGTCTGACGATCCTTCCAAAGCTTGGAATTTAAAAGTCGAATATCTCAGTTAAATCACTTGCAATTTAATTGTTGAATATTCTGATTATTAATTAACATGTTAAAAATTGACTGCGAGCTTTTCTAGGTGGAATGTCGAAAAGAAGATACGATTGAATTGAATTTGAATTACCAGTGATCGAAACTTCAATTGCTTCAGTTTCGATTGAATGTTAAATTTGGCTGTTTTTCTCGTTCGCTGATGAAAAAAATTTTTTTAAAATGAAAAAAAAAAAAAAGAAGAAGAAGAAGAAACAAGGATCTTGTAACGTTTACGTTTAGGAGATTGAATGTCCGAATTACGATTGAATTATATTTCATCTGTATTATTCAGCGGAGCGTGAAAACCGCGCGTCTTCATCTGATTTATCGTCAAAGCGGAAGTGATCCGACGTAACAGTGATTTCCCTTGACTTCCTGCCGCCGTGATATTGATAGCACCACTTCGGATATATCCTTATAACTAGCTTAATGTGACGCATCGAGAGAATCTTGGACGTGCCGTGAATCTTTCACGAGCTTCAACATCCTTCGGTATGAAGAACCCTTTGCTCCGATCGTTCGTCATATCTTTCACTTTCAACATCTAAATGACGCCATTTTAAAGATTCATCAGCTGAAATTAGAGTTAATGGTAAATTAAATGAGCAAGAGTCAGAAACAGGTGGAAACTCGATGTTATAGATCCCTGCGTGACGCGAGAAGCTTCAAAAGCTTGAAATTGTCCAATTTATCGAGAAATATAAATTTAATCTGATCTCTTTGCAGCAGGTAAAAATTGAAAATAATTCGCGAGAAAAGATCTAGACACGTGCTCAGTTTGGATTATTGTTAATACGTTCCATGCCAAGCCATTTTTGCCATTTGATATTTTGACTAAAATAAAAGATATTATATTATCACACAATCTTTCATTGCATCATCAATCGATAAGTAGTTCTCTTGTTTAAC